CTGACCCACCCACTGCTCCCCTCAGCAGTGTACTTCATGGATCCATCGATATGCCTGTTTTCCTCCCCACTCTGTCTCTGGTGAAGCCTCTCACTGCCTCTGTACCTCTGGCCTATACTCCAGCTCTGTATGCATAAATAAATAAATCTTTAAAAAAATAAATATCACAAAGTTATGGAATTAACAGCTGATTTTCACTAATTTTTGCTTACCTGTTGTTTTTACAATGAGCATGTATTACATTTAGTAATTAGAAAAAAATTTTTAAAGATTTTATATAAAAGAAATAAATGGGGTCCTCCCTGGTGGCACAATGGGTTAAAGCACTGCAGCACTGTGAAGCTATGTGCAGCCAATGATGCCCAAGTTCGATCCCCAGCCAGGGAGCTGACCCACGTGGTGAGGCAGACCTCTCCTGACCTGCTTGCTATTGCCCTCAGCAGTCTATTTCAGTACTTCTGCTTGTTCTACTCCCCACTCTATCTCTGGTGAATCCTCTCACCCTGTGTTCCTCTGGCTTTCCCCAGCTTGTATGCATATATAAACATCTTTTTAAAAAAAGAAAAGGAATTTTTAAAAATAAATAAAATAAAAATATGAATCAGTTTTCAAATTTGCTTTTGTAGATTTCACTTTGGCATCGAAAAAGTTTAAAAGTTCCAATTATAGAAGACAACATTAGGTAAAGTATCCAGAGTCACTGCTTTCCAAAGATTCTCACAGCACAAAGTGGCAGTGTTCTCTTGAAAACATAAAGCGGCTTTGCCCTCCTTGTAAAAGCTATTTGGGGAACTTGTGAAACATAAGGAATTTTATTTCCTTACCCTAGATACTCTGATTCAACAAAACTGGAGAATCCTTTTTGCAAACAAGACCTTTGTAAGACCCTCAGTGAACTTGGAAAAGTTTTACATAGCATTATGTCTTAAGCTACATGTATTCTTGCTTATTGATTCTAATCTCCCTCCCCTATTCCAGCTTCACTTCTTTCTCTTCAATAACTTTTGCTGTTATGCAGAAAGATAGTGAAAAAAATTATAATTGTTTTTATTTCCTTTTTAGTCTATAAATACAAAGGGCAAATATTACAAAATTAGAATAACCCCCAAAAAACCCTGGAATTTTAATTTCTGATAAAATATAGCTAAGAATCAGAGGCAAAATGGTGTCTTGAAAAGTATTTTTGGGGGAAGGGAGGGAAAGGAGATTGAGTAAGGAAATATATATATTGAGTGTATTAAACAATGAGGCTTAAAATTTCAATTAGAATGTCTTTATTTTATTCATATTCTACTCTAACATGAAATTCCAAATATGTACAAGTCATTATTTTTGATCTTAGTTATTTGAAGGAGATACTTTCTTGTTTACCAGAAGAATATTCAAGCATGACTGCATATTTCCAAACCTTGTTTATTTTCACAAACTATATTAGTCAACTAATAGATGGACCCAAGTTAGCTATCCTGTATAATACATTTGATATGATTATTCCTTAATTCAAGGATTCAGATTTCAAGAGTAAATAAGTACATTTTGCAAGGTCTGCTAATGCATCTTCACTGAAAACTACTAAGATCAGGAGTATTATCTCTGGATTGGGCCTCCCTGGTGGCTTAGGGGTTAAATTCCAGTGCTACCACTGTGACAGCCCACCAAGATAGCCTGAGTTGGAACCTGATCCCCAGCCAGGGAGCAACCCACATGATGTAGCAGATCTCTGTTGTTTTGCCTGCTGCTCCCATTATGGTGTATTTCAGTAGATCTGCCTGTTCTACTCCCCACTGTCTCTGGTGAATCCCTCATCCACCCCCCAGATCCCAGTTCTTATACACAATAACTTTTTTAAAGATATACTTTTTTATGCATACAGAACTGGGGTACAGGTCAAAGTGCAGGAGCTGTGAGAGGCTTCACCAGAGACAGAGTGGGAAGCAGAACAGGCAGATCAAGGAAATACACTGCTGAAGGGAGCAGCTGGTGAGACAGGAGAGGTCTGCTGTGACATGTGGATCATCTCCCCGGCCAGGGATCAAACTTGCATTAGCAGCTGCAGCTAGCTTACAGTGCTGCATCCTAACCCACTGCACCACCGGGGAGGGCCACAATAAATTTTAATAAATAAAAATTTTAAAGTAATAATCTTAAAATAAAAGGAATAATTATATTCTTTTACAGGTTTATTTATTTATTCTTAAAAGAACTAGGGTACAGGCTAGAGGTGCAGGAGGGTGAGAGGATTCACCAGAGACAGAGTAGGGAGCAGAAAAGGTAGATCCACTGAAATGTGCTGCTGAGGGGAACAGTGGGCAAGGCAAGAGAGGTCTGCTGTACCAGGTGAGCTAGCTCCCCAGACTGGGGTCAAAGTCATGCTGCAGAGGCTGGCAATACCATGATAGCGCTGAGACTTAACCCCTGTGTCACCAAGGAGGCCCTAAAAGGAATGATTCTTAAAAAAAATAATAAAAGGACCTCCCTGGTGGCACAAGGGGTTAAGGAGCAGTACTGTGAAGCTATCAGCAGCCACTGCCCCAGGAGTTCAATCACTGGCCAGGGAAGTGACTCAACCTGCCACTCCCCTCAGCAGTGTATTTTAGTCAAGTCAATCCACCTGTTCTGATCCCCACTTTGTCTCTGGTGAACCATCTCACCACCACCCCCAAATCTCTGGCTTGTACCCCAGTTCTTGAATGCATAAATAAAGAAATCTTTAAAATAACAACAACAATAATAATGATATTTATGGATTTTCTTTTCCCAAAATCAGCTTGTCATTATAATCCTTATACATAATTTTGATACTAACTTAAAGACTGAGTAACTCCACTGCAAATAGATTCTACTTTTAGGAATGTTTCTGATGCTGTTGTTTTTTGTTTTTTATGCATATAGAACTAAAGAACAGACCAGAGATGAAGGGGCAGTGAGAGGGTTCACTAGAGACAGAGTGGGGAACAGAACAGGCTGACTGACAAAGTATACTGCTC